ATAGGAGTCGTAATATGAGCCGATGATACTATTGAAAAATGTAGGGCACAAGGAGAGCCCCCGACCTGCCTATGACAATCACTTACCACCAATGTGTCATCCAGAAAAGTTGAGTTAAGTCTGAACAAATCCACAAGAGCCGTGACGAGGATTCGAACCTGCGTCCGGGAGCATCCCAGACGCTACCTTAATCGACTGAGCTACGACATGGTCAAAATGTTCATGTTCATTTGATGCATCACGTTATTGTGATTTCTGTGTGTAGTGAGTTAGGCCTCCAACCACGGACACACAAACAGTCCATCGAAGCTTGGCGGTAGAAAAAAGCACAATATGTTTAAGCTTCCTTCCAAGCATAAATATATACATTTTCTCAAATTTCCTTCAAAACCACGAAAGCTCAGTTAAGAGCTATAGCTTAACTACAAAAAAAGCAAAACAAATATTTTGCAGCACAATATATATTAAGTGGAGAGCGAGGACAATTAACACGACAACGCGAACCATGCAAGTAACAACCAACGCTGAAAATTACATTATCATAAACAGGTTTTGGAAATGAGTTTATAAAATCAGTTTCTTGATTACATTTACAACGCGACCTGGACAAGTACTGCCAATAAAGCCACACCAACACTGCGGCTCGGGCCAAACTATTTAGACAGTTGTAATAACAGTTGTACCAGTCTGGACATGTCGAGAATTACGCTCTACATAAACAAATAAGTCGAACTTCCAGTGGTACATGCATACTTTTTGTTGACATTGAACAGCCACAGCCAGTTACAACCATAGCCACAACCACAGCCAGTTACAACCACAGCCACAACCACAGCCAGTTACAACCACAGCCAGTTACAACCATAGCCACAACCACAGCAAGTTACAACCATAGCTACAACCATAGCCAGTTACAACCACAGCCAGTTACAACCATAGCCACAACCACAGTCAGTTACAACCATCGCCACAACCACAGCCAGTTACAATCATTGCCACAACCACAGCCAGTTACAACCACAGCCAGTTACAACCACAGCCAGTTACAACCACAGCCAGTTACAACCACAGCCAGTTACAACCACAGCCAGTTACAACCACAGCCAGTTACAACCACAGCCAGTTACAACCACAGTCAGTTACAACCACAGCCAGTTACAACCACAGCCAGTTACAACCACAGCCAGTTACAACCACATCCAGTTACAACCACATCCAGTTACAAACACATCCAGTTACAAACACATCCAGTTACAACCACAGTCAGTTACAACTACAGCCAGTTACAACCACAGCCAGTTACAACCACAGCCAGTTACAAACACATCCAGTTACAACCACAGCCAGTTACAACCACAGCCAGTTACAACCACAGCCAGTTACAACCACAGCCAGTCACAACCACAGCCAGTTACAACCACAGCCAGTCACAACTACAGCCAGTCACAACCACAGCCAGTCACAACCACAGCCAGTTACAACCACAGCCAGTGACAATCACAGCCAGTTACAACCACAGCCAGTCACAACTACAGCCAGTTACAACCACAGCCAGTTACAATCACAGCCAGTCACAACCACAGCCAGTCACAACCAAAAAAAATACTCATATAATAAATATTTAACATTAGGCCAACACTTTCATATCCAGAATTAACACATTAACACAACCACACACACACACACACACACAGTAGTGTTACCACGCCCGTATTCAGCCGTGTTAACACACATGTATCCAGCATTATAAAATGTTAAATGCTATTTATAATATTAACAAGAGCATAACACCAGCAGAAAGTCAGCGCCATTAACGTTGTCAGCGGTACTGAGGGGCGATGTGTATAGTGGAAAGTATTAACTAGATGTATCTTCTGGACCGCAGGGTTCAGAAACGGCACGAAACCACGTGAGACTGATTGGTTGAACGAATACCAAGGACAATGCGTTGCCGTGAAGCAATTGGAGGAAATAATGCGAATGACGTTATGGTGGTGAGCGCATACGCACGCGTGGATATATGCGTGCACGCGCGCACGAAACTAGCATAATTGTGTGATTTGTTAAATGGTTTTTAAGGGTCAACAGATGTGCACGGGTGCGCGCGCGCATATACACACCAGCAAACATACACACACACACACACAGGTGGGGCCTAGTAGCCTGGTGGATAGAGCGCAGGACTCGCAATTCTGTGGCGCGGGTTCAATTCCCGCACCAGACAGAAACAAATGGGCAAAGTTTCTTTCACCCTGAATGCCCCTGTTACCTAGCAGTAAATAGGTACCTGGGAGTTAGTCAGCTGTCACGGGCTGCTTCCTGGTGTGTGTGTGTGTGGCGAAAAAAAAGTAGTTAGTAAACAGTTGATTGACAGTTGAGAGGCTGGCCGAAAGAGCAAAGCTCAACCCCCGCAAACACAACTAGGTGAATACACACACACACACAACACACATAAGAAGGTGGTGGAGGCCAAAACCGTCAGTAGGTTCAAAGCGTTATATGACAAAGAGTAGATGTATATAAGCCAACATAACACATACGCAAACAAACGATACATACACTTATGTCAACCCATGGTGGACAGGCCACCGAACTTTCAAACCTCCTCTCTCTCTACACCCGCATCCTCTTCCTGAATTTCATCCCCCATCCTTTCCAATCCCTTTGGACATCAAAGCAATGACAAAGAGTACTGGGAAGACGGAACACCACGAGCGTAGCTCTCACACAACACAAAATAAAAACCCTAAGGAATAATATTTATTAATTGAAAAATAAATAATAAAAATGACAATAATACATAACCGAGGCAGTAAAATGGCCTCCTTACTGAAGCAGTTTAAGAGTTGGTCTGGCAGCATGCTTCACATTACTATACATATAAAACTACAATATGCCCAGTAAAGACTTTATTTATGATGCTGGTTAATTTGGGTCAAACGTTTACTGCGGTCGGCAGGTGATGTGTAGCTGAGCTGTAGCTGAGCTACAGAGGTTGTAGCTAGGGGTTGAGCTGAGGGTTGAGCTCTGCTCTTTCGGCCGCCTCTCAACTGTCAATCACTCAACTGTTACTAACTACTTAATTTTTTTTCCACACACACACACACGCACGCACGCACGCACGCACGCGCACGCGCACGCGCGCGCGCACACACACACACACGTGATTGTGCGAAGAAAGCTAGTGGAACATCTGGAGCGAAAGAACTTTGTAGCACAGCATCAACATGGGTTCAGAGATGGCAAGTCCTGCCTCACAGGGTTACTTGAATTCTACGACCAGGCAACAAAAATCAGAAAAGAAAGAAAGGGGTGGGCAGACTGCATGTTTTTGGATTGCCAGAAAGACTTTTGTACAGTACCACACAAGAGGCTAGTGAAAAAGCTGGAGATGCAGGCTGGAGTGAAAGGGAAGGTACTCCATTGGATAAAGGAGTACCTAAGCAACAGGAGACAACGAGTCAGTGTGAGGGGTGAGGTCTCAGATTGGCGAGACGTTACAAATGGAGTCCCGCAGGGGTCAGTCCTTGGACCTATACTGTTTCTGATATATGTAAATGATCTCCCAGAGGGAATTGACTCGTTTCTCTCAATGTTTGCTGATGATGCAAAAATTATGAGGACGATTGAAACAGAGGATGATAGTAGGAGACTACAAGATGACCTAGACAGACTGAATGAATGGTCCAACAAATGGCTGCTAAAGTTCAACCCGAATAAATGCAAAGTAATGAAACTAGGCGGTGAAAACATGAGGCTAGACACAGGATATAGAATGGGAGATGAAGTACTTAATGAAACGGAGAGAGAAAGATAAAGGAGTTAATACCACACCAAACCTGTCTCCTGAAGCCCACATAAAGAGAATAACGTCTGCGGCATATGCGAGGCTGGCTAACATCAGAACAGCCTTCAGGAACCCGTGTAAGGAATCATTCAGAATCTTGTATACCACATATGTAAGACCAATCCTGGAGTATGCGGCCCCAGCACGGAGCCCGTACCTTGTCAAGCACAAGCCGAAGCTGGAAAAAGTTCAGAGGAATGCCACTGGACTTGTCCCAGAACTAAGAGGCATGAGTTACGAGAAAATGCACCTTACGACACTGCAAGACAGAAGAGTAAGGGGAGACATGATCACTACCTACAAAATCCTCAGGGGAATCGACAGGGTAGACAAGGATAAACTATTCAACACTGGTGGTACGCGAACAAGGGGACACAGGTGGAAACTGAGTACCCACATGAGCCACAGGGCCGTTAGGAAGAACTTTTTCAGTGTCAGAGAAGTTAACAGGTGGAATGCATTAGGCAGTGATGAGGTGGAGGCTGACTCCATACAGTTTCAAATGTAGATATGATAGAGCCCAGTAGGCTCAGGATTCTGTACACCAGTTGATTGACAGTTGAGAGGCGGGACCAAATAGCCAAAGTTCAACACCCGCAAGCACAAATAGGTGAGTACAATAGGTGAGTACACACACACACACACACACACACACACAGAGGAAGCAGCTCGTAACAGTTGTCTAACTCCCAGGTACCTATTTACTGCAGGTAACAGGGTCATCAGGGTGAAAGAAACTATGCCCATTTGTTTCCGCCGACAACCGGGACCGAACCCGGACCCTGGGATTACGAGTACCAAGCGCTGGCTATTCGGCCCCCCCATATACGGCCCTGTGTGTGTGTGTGCGCGCGCGCGTGTGCGTGTGCGTGTGCGTGTGCGTGTGTGTGTGTGTGTGTGTGTGTGTGTGTGTGTGTGTGTGTGTGTGTGTGTGTGTGTGTGTGTGTCATATTATCATGTTCTCTTCGTCTGCTACAACGTACAAAATACAGTGCTAACCTAACCTAACCTAACCTCCCAGTGAATAGAAAACGTGAATATTTGTGAGCTGTTAATTTTCACAGTACCTCAAGATTCGTGCGTAGAGGACAATAGCATACAAAATGAGACGTATTAGTTGAGAGGACGAGTTGGTGTATTATTAATGCGGGAGGCAGCCTCAAGTATTACCCTGGAGCACAAGCCTCAAGTATTACTCCGGAGCACCAGCCCCAAGTATTACCCCGAAGCACCAGCCTCAAGTATTACCCCGGAGCACCAGCCCCAAGTATTACCCCGGAGCACCAGCCCCAAGTACTACCCCGGAGCACAAGCCTCAAGTATTACCCCGGAGCACCAGCCTCAAGTATTACCCCGGAGCACCAGCCCCAAGTAGCCTCAAGTATTACCCCGGAGCACCAGCCTCAAGTATTACCCCGGAGCACCAGCCTCAAGTATTACCCTACCCCGGAACACCAGCCCCAAGTATTACCCCGGAGCACCAGCCCCAAGTATTACCCCGGAGCACCAGCCCCAAGTATTACCCCGGAGCACCAGGCCCAAGTATTACCCCGGAGCACCAGCCCCAAGTATTACCCCGGAGCACCAGCCCCAAGTATTACCCCGGAGCACCAGGCCCAAGTATTACCCCGGAACACCAGCCCCAAGTATTACCCCGGAGCACCAGCCCCAAGTATTACCCCGGAGCACCAGCCCCAAGTATTACCCCGGAGCACCAGCCCCAAGTATTACCCCGGAACACCAGCCCCAAGTATTACCCCGGAGCACCAGCCCCAAGTATTACCCCGGAACACCAGCCCCAATATTACCCCGGAGCACCAGCCCCAAGTATTACCCCGGAACACCAGCCCCAAGTATTACCCCGGAACACCAGCCCCAAGTATTACCCCGGAGCACCAGCCCCAAGTATTACCCCGGAACACCAGCCCCAAGTATTACCCCGGAGCACCAGCCCCAAGTATTACCCCGGAGCACCAGCCCCAAGTATTACCCCGGAGCACCAGCCCCAAGTATTACCCCGGAACAAGCGTTGACGAGGTATTTGTCTGACTGGGACCGTCTCCAATATTTACACAGGCTCGCTTCCAGTCATTAAGAAACCATCAACTTTTTATGTGATTTTTTCTATAACATTATCAGTGTGGAGGGAGACCACCGGTGGCCCTGGGGGTGGCCATGGTCGTGGCCCTGGTCGTGGCCCAGGGGGTGGCCTTGGTCGTGGCCCCTGGTCGTGGCCCAGGGGGTGGCCTTGGTCGTGGCCCCTGGTCGTGGCCCTGGTCGTAGCCCCTGGTCGTGGCCCCTGGTCGTGGCCCTGGTCGTAACCCTGGTCGTGGCCCTGGGGGTGGCCTTGGTCGTGGCCCCTGGGGGTGACCTTGGTCGTGGCCCCTAGGGGTGGCCTTGGTCGTGGCCCTGGTCGTGGCCTTGGTCGTGACCCTGGTCGTGGCCTTGGTCGTGGCCCTGGGGGTGGCCTTGGTCGTGGCCCTGGTCGTGGCCCATAGTCGTGGCCCTGGTCGTGGCCTTGGTCGTGGCCCTGGTCGTGGCCCTGGGGGTGGACTTGGTCGTGGCCCTGGTCGTGGCCCTGGGGGTGGCCTTGGTCGTGGCCCTGGTCGTGGCCCTGGGGTGGCCTTGGTCGTGGCCCTGGGGGTGGCCTTGGTCGTGGCCCTGGTCGTGGCCCAGGGGGTGGCCTTGGTCGTGGCCCTGGGGGTGGCCTTGGTCGTGGCCCTGGGGGTGGCCCTGGGGGTGGCCCTGGGGGTGGCCTTGGTCGTGGCCCTGGTCGTGGCCCTGGGGGTGGCCTTGGTCGTGGCCCTGGTCGTGGCCCTGGGGGTGGCCTTGGTCGTGGCCCTGGGGGTGGCCTTGGTCGTGGCCCTGGTCGTGGCCGTGGGGGTGGCCTTGGTCGTGGCCCTGGTCGTGGCCCTGGGGGTGGCCTTGGTCGTGGCCCTGGTCGTGGCCCTGGGGTGGCCTTGGTCGTGGCCCTGGGGGTGGCCTTGGTCGTGGCCCTGGTCGTGGCCCAGGGGGTGGCCTTGGTCGTGGCCCTGGTCGTGGCCCTGGGGGTGGCCTTGGTCGTGGCCCTGGGGGTGGCCCTGGGGGTGGCCTTGGTCGTGGCCTTGGTCGTGGCCCTGGTCGTGGCCCTGGTCGTGGCCCCTGGTTGTGGCCCCTGGTCGTAGCCCCTGGTCGTGGCCTTGGTCATGGCCCGATTCACCCGTGGTGGCCCACCCCGGGTGAGTCGGACACCATCTGGTGGCCACCCTGGGTGAGACAGACACACCAGGTGGTGGCCACCCCGGGTGAGACACACACACCAGGTGGTGGCCACCCCGGGTGAGACACACACACCAGGTGGTGGCCACCCCGGGTGAGACACACACACCAGGTGGTGGCCACCCCGGATGAGACACACACACCAGGTGGTGGCCACCCCGGGTGAGACAGACACACCAGGTGGTGGCCACCCCGGGTGAGACACACACACCAGGTGGTGGCCACCCCGGGTGAGACAGACACACCAGGTGGTGGCCACCCCGGTTGAGACAGACACACCAGGTGGTGGCCACCCCGGGTGAGACACACACACCAGGTGGTGGCCACCCTGGGTGAGACACACACACACACCAGGTGGTGGCCACCCCGGGTGAGACACACACACACACCAGGTGGTGGCCACCCCGGGTGAGACACACACACCAGGTGGTGGCCACCCCGGATGAGACAGACACACCAGGTGGTGGCCACCCCGGGTGAGACAGACACACCAGGTGGTGGCCACCCCGGGTGAGACACACACACACCAGGTGGTGGCCACCCCGGGTGAGACACACACACCAGGTGGTGGCCACCCCGGGTGAGACACACACACCAGGTGGTGGCCACCCCGGATGAGACAGACACACCAGGTGGTGGCCACCCCGGGTGAGACACACACACCAGGTGGTGGCCACCCCGGATGAGACACACACACACCAGGTGGTGGCCACCCCGGGTGAGACACACACACCAGGTGGTGGCCACCCCGGGTGAGACACACACACACCAGGTGGTGGCCACCCCGGGTGAGACAGACACACCAGGTGGTGGCCACCCCGGGTGAGACACACACACCAGGTGGTGGCCACCCCGGATGAGACAGACACACCAGGTGGTGGCCACCCCGGGTGAGACAGACACACCAGGTGGTGGCCACCCCGGGTGAGACACACACACCAGGTGGTGGCCACCCCGGGTGAGACACACACACCAGGTGGTGGCCACCCCGGGTGAGACACACACACACCAGGTGGTGGCCACCCCGGGTGAGACAGACACACCAGGTGGTGGCCACCCCGGGTGAGACACACACACCAGGTGGTGGCCACCCCGGATGAGACAGACACACCAGGTGGTGGCCACCCCGGGTGAGACACACACACCAGGTGGTGGCCACCCCGGATGAGACAGACACACCAGGTGGTGGCCACCCCGGATGAGACAGACACACCAGGTGGTGGCCACCCCGGATGAGACAGACACACCAGGTGGTGGCCACCCCGGGTGAGACAGACACACCAGGTGGTGGCCACCCCGGGTGAGACACACACACCAGGTGGTGGCCACCCCGGATGAGACAGACACACCAGGTGGTGGCCACCCCGGATGAGACAGACACACCAGGTGGTGGCCACCCCGGGTGAGACACACACACCAGGTGGTGGCCACCCCGGGTGAGACACACACACCAGGTGGTGGCCACCCCGGGTAAGACAGACACACCAGGTGGTGGCCACCCCGGGTGAGACACACACACCAGGTGGTGGCCACCCCGGATGAGACACACACACACCAGGTGGTGGCCACCCCGGGTGAGACAGACACACCAGGTGGTGGCCACCCCGGGTGAGACAGACACACCCGGGGTGGCGTCTATAGCAGCCATACAAAATAAAGCTAAAACCTCAACTTCAATATTCCCAGGCTTAGTATAGCACATATATATACTATATTAGACCTCAGATAACGTGTATTAGGCCTAAGATGGTCAGGCCAGGTTTCATTAGCAACATACATATATATAAACTTTCCCAGTTTGTCAAGTTCAGTAACACAACAGTCTACTGTCTCCGTCACGACATAATTGTACTATGGTCCTCATCGGTGCTGTAAGTACTTTCATGTTAGGAGGATGGATGACACACTAACTCCCTGGTACATATTTGCTGCTAGGTGAACAGAGGCATCAGTTCACCTAGCAGTTTTGTTTTCGTTTCTTTTTTTCGTTGAGGCATCAGGGGTGAAAGAAACTCTGTCCATTTGTTTCTGTCTCGGCCCGGAATAGAACCCGGGTCCTTAGGACTACGACCCCTCGAGCGTTGTCCACACACCACGAGGCCCCTACATACACATGCAATGTGCGTGCGTGCGTGCGTGCGTGCGTGCGTGTGTGTGTGTGTGTGTGTGTGTGTACTCACCTATATGTACTCACCTATATGTGCTTGCAGGATCGAGCATTGACTCTTGGATCCCGCCTTTCGAGCATCGGTTGTTTACAGCAATGACTCCTGTCCCATTTCCCTATCATACCTGGTTTTAAAATTATGAATAGTATTTGCTTCCACAACCTGTTCCTGAAGTGCATTCCATTTCCCCACTACTCTCACGCTAAAAGAAAACTTCCTAACATCTCTGTGACTCATCTGAGTTTCAAGCTTCCATCCATGTCCTCTCGTTCTGTTACTATTCCGTGTGAACATTTCGTCTATGTCCACTCTGTCAATTCCTCTGAGTATCTTATACGTTCCTATCATGTCCCCCCTCTCCCTTCTTCTTTCTAGTGTAGAAAGTGTATTCATCTAGTTGTGCTTGCGGGGGTTGAGCTCTGGCTCTTTGGTCCCGCCTCTCAACTGTCAATCAACTGATGGGCATATTCCTGAGCCTAGTGGGCGCTATCATATTGAGATATATACAAGAGTTGTTGCATTCTTGTACAGCCACTAGTACGCGTAGCGTTTCGGGCAGGTCCCTGCAATTCGATCCTCGCCGCGAAGAATCGTTGTTACAACCAAGTACTCATTTTACTGTTGAGTTAAACAGAGGCTACAGTTAAGGATTTGCGCCCAGTAAATTCTCCCCGGCCAGGATACGAACCCATGAAAAAAGCGTTCGCGGAGCGCCAGGCGAGTGTCGTACCACTACACCACGGAGACAAAACTATCTACATTTGAAACCGTGTATGGAGTCAGCCTCCACCACATCACTGCCTAATACATTCCATCTGTTAACTACCCTAACACTGAAAAAAGTCTAGGTGTGTGCCTACACTTAGATGTGCTTGCAGGATCGAGCTTTCTCAGTTAAGGGATTTTCAAACCATTTCTCATTAGTTTTGCAAGCATCTGCAAACATTGATATTAAAGAGGCAATTTCCTCTGTCAGGACGTTGATATATATATATACTGTATTAGAAACACGATGGGACCTAGATCCGACCCTTGTGGTGCTCTACCCGTAAGTTATCTTCACTGTGATACCTCTCCCTCACTATAACCCTTTGCTTCCTGCCTGAGAGATGCTCTCTAACCCACCTTAGGACTCTTCCAGATATGCCAGCTTGCTTTTCTAGTTTGAGTAGAAGTCTTTCATGTGGGACCGTATCAAATGCTTCCTGGCAGTCAAGGAATATGCAGTCTGCCCATCCCTGTATCTTGTTTGATTTCAGTCGTCTTGTTGTATTACTCTAGGAAGTTTGTCAAGCAGGATTTTCTTTTACAAAAACCATGCTGGTGCCCTGACACAAAACTGATCTGTTCTCAATGTTCTACCAGCATACTTCGCCCCAGAGGGAGCCGGTCGGCCGAGCGGACAGCACGCTTTACTTATGATCCTGTGGTCCTGGGTTCGATCCCAGGCGCCGGCGAGAAACATTGGGCAGAGTTTCTTTCACCCTATGCCCCTGTTACCTAGCAGTAAAATAGGTAGCTGGGTGTTAGTCAGCTGTCACGGGCTGCTTCCTGGGGGGTGGAGGCCTGAGTCGAGGACCGGGCCGCGGGGACACTAAAAAGCCCCGAAATCATCTCAAGATAACCAGTCTCTCTAGCAACTTGCAGAGGACACTTGTTAATGATACGGGCCAGGAGTTTAACAGTTGCTGTTCTTCCTCTTTCTTGTAGCTTGATACCACATTAGCCATTTTCCACCAGCCATCAAGTTGTTCCCTTTTCTAGAGGGGAATCAAATATTACAGCAAGTGGCCTGCACTTTTAGTATCCAAAGCAATATTTTGTCTGGACCCCACGGCTTTTGTCATATCCGGTTCCTGCAGTTCCTTCTTCTAGTGACACTGTTATTTCAGTGAGGCTTGCATGTGGAACTGACCGTTCAGTTTGGGCTCTAAGCTCAAATCAGGTTCTACGTTGAATTCTTCCTGAAATCCTTTGTCAAGGTCCTCACGCAGCTGGTAATAATTGTCGGTGTTATCTTCCTCTTGATATGACTATGGAACAGTGTTGGTTCTGGCTTAGTCTTGTATGTGATGCCATTCTCGTACTGCTTCTCTGCCACTCTTCTAGTTTATGTGTACTCATTTCCAGCCTCTTTGTATACAGTGTGTGTGAGTGTGAGTGTGTGTGTGTGTGTGTGTGTGTGTGTGTGTGTGTGTGTGTGTGTGTGTGTGTGTGTGTGTGTGTGTGTGTGTGTACGAGTGCGTGCATGCGCACGCGTGTGTACAACATAAAACATGCACCAATGAAGGTAAAACAGCCCTGCACACAACCAAGGAGTACCAACAGTTAGACGAAACATTAATCACACTCTTGCCACATATATAACAGTAAATGGACCGTGAGCCAGTGTTGTAGAACTTACTGCTAATTAACCCAGTCAGGTGACACAACACTGGTAGTGACCAGGTGACACAACACTGGTAGTTGGCCAGATGACACAACACAGGTAGTTGGCCAGGTGACACAACACTGGTAGTGGCCAGGTGACAACACTGGTAGTTGGCCAGGTGACACAACACTGGTAGTTGGCCAGGTGACACAACACAGGTAGTTGGCCAGGTGACAACACTGGTAGGGGCCAGGAAACAACACTGGTAGTGGCCAGGTAACACAACAATGACAGGGACCAGGTGACATGACTAGTAGTGACGAGGTGACATGGCGTCACATGATGCCCAACAGTCATGACATGCCATCAATCACACAACATATCTACAAAAGTCAACAGACCTGAGCAACTAAACTATTGTGTGATCGGATTTGTGTCCTACACTTGAGCATCGTGCCATAAGTGGCCGTGGCATATTAATTATAAGTATGTAAGTATATAATTATGCCATTATTTTTCTTTTCCTATATTCTCATACGCAAAGTAATAACTTACTGGATTTTTGGGGTCGACTAAAATAAGTTATAAATCTACAATCTTGCGTGAATAATAATTTTGAATTAGTGACCCATATAATGCAGGTCCGATTAAAATCTTCCCATTTTCACTTTTGTATGCACTTGTTAAGAAATTTATTTAATTCTTAGTCACGATAATGGTAGCTGGTTATATATTCAACTCGTTTTCTACACTATCGCCAAAACCGGAATTTGCCAATATCCTTTTTAAATCGGAATTCCTTCCATTTAAATTTTTGCGTACGAGTTCGTTATAAATTTCAGAATTTCCGATTTATAAAGCTTAAAGGCAAATATTGTTTTGGTAATAGTGTTGTAGATTGTTGTAATTATTTCCACTTCCAAAAACTATTAGTTTCTTACTCCCGACAGGACACAGACCAGTCACGACCATGGAGACCACTGAGACCAGTCACGACCATGGAGACCTCGCAGACCAGTCACGACCATGGAGACCACTGAGACCAGTCACGACCATGGAGACCACTGAGACCAGTCACGACCATGGAGACCTCGCAGACCAGTCACGACCATGGAGACCACTGAGACCAGTCACGACCATGGAGACTTCGCAGACCAGTCACGACCATGGAGACCACTGAGACCAGTCACGACCATGGAGACCACACAGACCAGTCACGACCATGGAGACCACACAGACCAGTCACGACCATGGAGACCTCGCAGACCAGTCACGACCATGGAGACCTCGCAGACCAGTCACGACCATGGAGACCACTGAGACCAGTCACGACCATGGAGACCTCGCAGACCAGTCACGACCATGGAGACCACTGAGACCAGTCACGACCATGGAGACCACTGAGACCAGTCACGACCATGGAGACCACTGAGACCAGTCACGACCATGGAGACCACACAGACCAGTCACGACCATGGAGACCACTGAGACCAGTCACGACCATGGAGACCACTGAGACCAGTCACGACCATGGAGACCACACAGACCAGTCACGACCATGGAGACCACTGAGACCAGTCACGACCATGGAGACCACTGAGACCAGTCACGACCATGGAGACCACTGAGACCAGTCACGACCATGGAGACCTCGCAGACCAGTCACGACCATGGAGACCACTGAGACCAGTCACGACCATGGAGACCACTGAGACCAGTCACACCATGGAGACCACTGAGACCAGTCACGACCATGGAGACCACACAGACCAGTCACGACCATGGAGACCTCGCAGACCAGTCACGACCATGGAGACCACTGAGACCAGTCACGACCATGGAGACCACTGAGACCAGTCACGACCATGGAGACCACACAGACCAGTCACGACCATGGAGACCACACAGACCAGTCACGACCATGGAGACCACTGAGACCATGGAGACCACTGAGACCAGTCACGACCATGGAGACCTCGCAGACCAGTCACGACCATGGAGACCACTGAGACCAGTCACGACCATGGAGACCACTGAGACCAGTCACGACCATGGAGACCACTGAGACCAGTCACGACCATGGAGACCACACAGACCAGTCACGACCATGGAGACCTCGCAGACCAGTCACGACCATGGAGACCACTGAGACCAGTCACGACCATGGAGACCACTGAGACCACACAGACCAGTCACGAATATGGAGACCACTGAGACCAGTCACGACCATGGAGACCACTGAGACCAGTCACGACCATGGAGACCTCGCAGACCAGTCACGACCATGGAGACCACTGAGACCAGTCACGACCATGGAGACCACTGAGACCAGTCACGACCATGGAGACCACACAGACCAGTCACGACCATGGAGACCACACAGACCAGTCACGACCATGGAGACCACACAGACCAGTCACGACCATGGAGACTTCGCAGACCAGTCACGATCATGGAGACTTCGCAGACCAGTCACGACCATGGAGACCACTGAGACCAGTCACGACCATGGAGACCACACAGACCAGTCACGACCATGGAGACCACGCAGACCAGTCACGACCATGGAGACCACTGAGACCAGTCACGATCATGGAGACCTCGCAGACCAGTCACGACCAGGGAGACCACACAGACCAGTCACGACCATGGAGACCACACAGACCAGTCACGACCATGGAGACCACACAGACCAGTCACGACCATGGAGACCATGGAGAGTATGGGGTGCATAATAAAGAAAGAAATTGAATTATAAGTTCAAGTGCTGCTCAACAGATGTACATGTTCGCTTACGGGCAGAACTGAGCGGCTATTTGTAGTGCAGGTGCAACCTGGAGTCCGCTGGCACAAGTGACAACGTGGAGTCCGCTGGCACAAGTGACAACCTGGAGTCCGCTGGTACAAGTGACAACCTGGAGTCCGCTGGTACAAGTGACAACCTGGAGTCCGCTGGTACAAGTGACAACCTGGAGTCCGCTGGTACAAGTGACAACCTGGAGTCCGCTGGTACAAGTGACAACCTGGAGTCCGCTGGTACAAGTGACAACCTGGAGTCCGCTGGTACAAGTGACAACCTGGAGTCCGCTGGCACAAGTGACAACCTGGAGTCCGCTGGCACAAGTGACAACCTGGAGTCCGCTGGCACAAGTGACAACCTGGAGTCCGCTGGTACAAGTGACAACCTGGAGTCCGCTGGTACAAGTGACAACCTGGAGTCCGCTGGTACAAGTGACAACCTGGAGTCCGCTGGTACAAGCGACAACCTGGAGTCCGCTGGTACAAGTGACAACCTGGAGTCCGCTGGTACAAGTAACAACCTGGAGTCCGCTGGTACAAGTGACAACCTGGAGTCCGCTGGCACAAGTGACAACCTGGAGTCCGCTGGCACAAGTGACAACCTGGAGTCCGCTGGTACAAGTGACAACCTGGAGTCCGCTGGCACAAGTGACAACCTGGAGTCCGCTGGTACAAGTACAAGCAAGTGACAACCTGGAGTCCGCTGGTACAAGTGACAACCTGGAGTCCGCTGGCACAAGTGACAACCTGGAGTCCGCTGGTACAAGTGACAATTCAGCAACACAAGTGCCCTTCACGGACGGGAGAATGCTCCTCTACGAGTGACTTCAACTGAGTACTCTCGTTAAACATACAAAACATGGAGCAATTCCTCATATTAGCACGTCCAACCACTTGGGCCGGACGGTAGAGCGACGGTCTCGCTTCATTCGGGTCAGCGTTCAATCCCCGACCGTCCAAGTGGTCGGGCACCATTCCTTCCCCCCGTCCCATCCCAAACCCTTATCCTGACCCGTTCCAAGTGCTATAAAGTCGTAATGGGTTGGCGTTTCCCCTGATAGTTTCCTCCATTCCCCATATCATTTATTTTTTATTTTTAGTGTTAGGATGCTGGTTTCTAACTAGGTACAAGAACTGATAAGTCTTGAGGGACTTTGTATCTCTCGAACACGACTCGTCACAGGCTTTGCATCAAGATACAGGAACCATTTATTTTTGACTTCACTGAAGAAGTCCTTTCCGACATCTCATACTCACTTTTGTCTCCAGTTTTCATCTATGTTCTCGTTTTACTGTTCGATTTGAATACGAAGTCTCTACCACGTCTTTAGAATCTTTTATGTCGTTATCATGTCTGCCATACACTGTCTTTACTCTTAGTGTGGTGATGTCCAGTTCACTCAATTCACGAATGAGTCATGTTGAATCTCTTTGAACTTTTTCTAGATTTGTTTTGTTTTTCTTTAGGTAGGTGTTCTATGTCGGGGCTGCACACTTACAAGCGAGTCTCACGTTGGTTGTATATTAGCGTTCGGGAGATAGATCTCACCAAGTCCCAGAAGGCAAATACAGACGACGTTTGACCAAGCAGCTGACGTGATCCTCACCTGTGTCTCAGATCACAGACCTGGGGTTATGTCTACTTAAAACTTTTTCAATATTTGTGTGTATAGATTTTATAGTTGTGTTTGCGGGAGTTGAGTTTCAGATCTTTGGTCCCGACTCTCTGCCGTCACTCAACTGGTGTGTGCGTGTGTGTGTGTGTGTGTGTGTGTGTGTGTGTGTGTGTGTGTGTGTGTGTGTGTGTGTGTGTGTGTGTGTTTATCTGACTGTGTGCGTCTGTACCAGAATGTCATTATCTGATTAACGGGGAAATTTTCATCATCGATAATTATGGATTCAAATAATTGAATTGTTGACAACAAAATTTTGATGCCTGGGCTAGCCAGTGTCACGATGGTGGGCTCCAGGGAAACGTTGCCTGCTGGCGTCGCCCGTCATGCTGGCGTCGACCGTCATGCTGGCGTCGACCGTCATGCTGGCGTCGACGGTCATGCTGGCGTCGCCCGTCATGCTGGCGTCGACGGTCATGCTGGCGTCGACGGTCATGCTGGCGTCGACGGTCATGCTGGCGTCGCCCGTCATGCTGGCGTCGACGGTCATGCTGGCGTCGACGGTCATGCTGGCGTCGACCGTCATGCTGGCGTCGCCCGTCATGCTGGCGTCGCCCGTCATGCTGGCGTCGCCCGTCATGCTGGCGTCGCCCGTCATGCTGGCGTCGACCGTCATACTGGCGTCGCCCGTCATGCTGGCGTCGACGGTCATGCTGGCGTCGACGGTCATGCTGGCGTCGACGGTCATGCTGGCGTCGACGGTCATGCTGGCGTCGACGGTCATGCTGGCGTCGACGGTCATACTGGCGTCGACGGTCATGCTGGCGTCGACGGTCATGCTGGCGTCGACGGTCATGCTGGCGTCGCCCGTCATGCTGGCGTCGCCCGTCATGCTGGCGTCGCCCGTCATGCTGGCGTCGCCCGTCATGCTGGCGTCGACCGTCATGCTGGCGTCGACGGTCATGCTGGCGTCGACCGTCATGCTGGCGTCGACCGTCATGCTGGCGTCGACCGTCATGCTGGCGTCGACCGTCATGCTGGCGTCGACCGTCATGCTGGCGTCGACCGTCATGCTGGCGTCGCCCGTCATGCTGGCGTCGCCCGTCATGCTGGCGTCGCCCGTCATGCTGGCGTCGCCCGTCATGCTGGCGTCGACCGTCATACTGGCGTCGCCCGTCATGCTGGCGTCGCCCGTCATGCTGGCGTCGACGATCATGCTGGCGTCGATCGTCATGCTGACGTCGACCGTCATGCTGGCGTCGACCGTCATGCTGGCGTCGCCCGTCATCCTGGCGTCGCCCGTCCTCAGGCTATTATCTCCCTCTTGTGACCAGGACACACTTGTGACCAGGACACACTTGTGACCAGGACCCTTGTGGCCAGGACACACTTGTGACGAGGACACACTTGTGACCAGGACCCTTATGGCCAGGACACACTTGTGACGAGGACACACTTGTGACGAGGACACACTTGTGACCAGAACACACTTGTGACGAGGACAGTTGTGACCAGGACACACTGGTCACCAAGACAAGTGTGTCCTGGTCACCAAGACAAGTGTGTCCTGGTCACCAAGACAAGTGTGTCCTGGTCACCAAGACAAGTGTGTCCTGGTCACCAAGACAAGTGTGTCCTGGTCACCAAGACAAGTGTGTCCTGGTCACCAAGACAAGTGTGTCCTGGTCACCAAGACAAGTGTGTCCTGGTCACCAAGAGAAGTGTGTCCTGGTCACCAAGACAAGTGTGTCCTGGTCACCAAGACAAGTGTGTCCTGGTCACCAAGACAAGTGTGTCCTGGTCACCAAGACAATGATATTTTGAAATATACCAATTTCCAATGAGAATTACAGACGCATTAGCGTCTTTTCATTAACATAAAGTCACTAAAAAAAAACATATAAACACATGTTAATTTGATTCACATTAAAATATAAAAATGATCACAAAAGGTTTGGCAATAAACAGTTTTTCGATACTTACCTTTATACCGTAAATCACTTTCAAGAATGAGCGCCCAAAACATATAGTCTCGCAGCATGCTCTCGTTATAAGATCCTTGGCAACGGCACTCACACTCCAGGATATTCAGTGGTCACTTGCCTTGCTCCTCCCAGTACGTGTTCACGTTCTCCTTGAATTTATCAAGACGAGCATCAAGGGACATCCTTTCAGCCCATTGTGTTGTAGTTCTTCACCAGAGTCTCAACCAGCTCCACATAGTTCTCGGTCTTGTGATTTCCCAGCAGCCTGGAACCACTGTGTCAAAGCTGTTGCAAGCTCCTTTCTCTTTCCTGGTGAGCTTATTGACGAATTCCTTGCACTCTTGTCCGTCGTAAACACCGACTTTGACCTTTACCTCAGACAGGTTCGGGAAGAAGTCTTGTAGGTACTTGAAGGCTACCGACTTCTTATCTGGAGTTGTGACATCATATATGGCCTTATGTACATCATAAGGCCATATCTGAAGTGCAGTGATGGCATCTCAACCTCTCAGGGTTCACCAGTAGCTCCCACTTGATTTTGTTTCTCCCCTTAGAAAAAACTTCTTTGGCCAGTCTCGCCTGGCAGTGCGCCTTGATTTCCCTGTGCCCCAAAGACAATGATAGCAGGGAAACTTGATAAAATTACCTTGGAGATCCATCAGGAATGCTACTAATTTATAGTCTCTTATGACCTCCCAGCGGGACCCATCATACTTCATGGCATCCAGCGAGGTCTGGATGTTGTTGTAATCCTCTTTGAGGTGCACAGAGTGACCAGGGGGAGAGACGGGTACTTATTCCTGTTATGGAGCAGTATGGCTTGGAGTCTCCTGGATATGCTGTCAAGGAAGAGGCGCCACTCGTCTGGGTTTCATGCGACTGTAATTGCCTCGAACAGACTGGCCACATTGCAGCAGAGTCCATCTTTATAGGTGAAGAAGCTGGGAAAAAGCTTGGTGATGCTTCCTCTAATTTGCGACTTGTTCACTCTCATCCAAAACGTTCCGCTGTTTAAGCCTAGACGTCAAAAGATCGACACTGGACGTGGTGAGACCAAGGTTTCTGGTCACGTCGTTGAGATCTTTTGTGGTTGGGCTAGTATGGGTTTCTCTCCTAAGCTCCATCTCTGAAATTGTTATGTGGATCTACAACGTCTTCCTTCCTCTCGGACTTGCTGCTCTCTTCTGAACAAGGCTGCTCTTTCTCTAAAGAAGTAGGCATGGAGTAGCTCAGAGCAGTGTGGCACCTGGGCGATGGATAAAGGTCAGATATAGTAGGCATATTATTGCCAGTACCATGTTTGGAAAGGTCCACTATGAAGTAGTGCACCGTTTCTCGAGTGGTCAGTTTGTTCCCGCAATATTTTGAGGGTAGAGAACTTTTCCCCTCTGTACCATTCAACAAAAGAACAAAATACAATTGACATAATGAAAACACATTTATTTAATCCATGACTAATGTGTAAGAGATCTTCGCAACGTTTTCCATTATATATTTTTGTCAATAACATTGAAAAAAATTGATTAAAAAAAAAAATGTAAAAATTAATCATAACATTCTGGCCAACAATTGTCCATCTTACATTCCAGAGTTTTGTGTTGTTTGAAGTGCTCAAAGGTGAAATCCCCCAAGAGTTTGCGTTGATCCCTCACAGGCATGCCAAAATATGCCTTGTAGGCCTAACAGGCATGCTAAAATATGCCTTGTAGGCCTCACAGGCATGCTAAAATATGCCTTGTAGGCCTCACAGGCATGCTAAAATATGCCTTGTAGGCCTCACAGGCATGCCAAAATATGCCTTGTAGGCCTCACAGGCATGCCAAAATATGCCTTGTAGGCCTCACAGGCATGCCAAAATATGCCTTGTAGGCCTCACAGGCATGCTAAAATATGCCTTGTAGGCCTCACAGGCATGCTAAAATATGCCTTGTAGGCCTCACAGGCATGCTAAAATATGCCTTGTAGGCCTCACAGGCATGCTAAAATATGCCTTGTAGGCCTCACAGGCATGCTAAAATATGCCTTGTAGGCCTCACAGGCATGCTAAAATATGCCTTGTAGGCCTCACAGGCATGCCAAAATATGCCTTGTAGGCCTCACAGGCATGCCAAAATATGCCTTGTAGGCCTAACAGGCATGCTAAAATATGCCTTGTAGGCCTCACAGGCATGCTAAAATATGCCTTGTAGGCCTCACAGGCATGCCAAAATATGCCTTGTAGGCCTCACAGGCATGCCAAAATATGCCTTGTAGGCCTAACAGGCATGCTAAAATATGCCTTGTAGGCCTCACAGGCATGCCAAAATATGCCTTGTAGGCCTCACAGGCATGCCAAAATATGCCTTGTAGGCCTAACAGGCATGCTAAAATATGCCTTGTAGGCCTCACAGGCATGCTAAAATATGCCTTGTAGGCCTCACAGGCATGCTAAAATATGCCTTGTAGGCCTCACAGGCATGCCAAAATATGCCTTGTAGGCCTCACAGGCATGCCAAAATATGCCTTGTAGGCCTCACAGGCATGCCAAAATATGCCTTGTAGGCCTCACAGGCATGCTAAAATATGCCTTGTAGGCCTCACAGGCATGCTAAAATATGCCTTGTAGGCCTCACAGGCATGCTAAAATATGCCTTGTAGGCCTCACAGGCATGCTAAAATATGCCTTGTAGGCCTCACAGGCATGCTAAAATATGCCTTGTAGGCCTCACAGGCATGCTAAAATATGCCTTGTAGGCCTCACAGGCATGCTAAAATATGCCTTGTAGGCCTCACAGGCATGCTAAAATATGCCTTGTAGGCCTCACAGGCATGCTAAAATATGCCTTGTAGGCCTCACAGGCATGCTAAAATATGCCTTGTAGGCCTCACAGGCATGCTAAAATATGCCTTGTAGGCCTCACAGGCATGCCAAAAGTCATCTCAGCCGATGCTTCCTCAGAGAACTTTGTTACTCTTTGCTTTGATGAATTTGCCGCAGACACAGCAGAGTGCGTCCGGGGATACTTGGAGCCTCTGGATGTCAGTTCTGCACAAATCAGACATATATATATATACTCTTGGGTAGCTGCAACTAAACCGAGCTGGTGACCTCTCGAGGCCACTGAGAGTTATATTACTAGTTATACTGGTTATATTACTAGTTATACTGGTTATATTACTAGTTATACTGGTTATATTACTGGAGTTATATTACTAGTTATACTGGTTATATTACTGGAGATTTATATTACTAGTTATACTGGTTATATTACTGGAGAGTTATATTACTAGTTATACTGGTTATATTACTGGAGATTTATATTACTAGTTATACTGGTTATATTACTGGAGAGTTATATTACTAGTTATACTGGTTATATTACTGGAGAGTTTTAGAAAATTCTATGAGTTACTCCAGATTCACTCCGCACTGAATCTACCTGGAATGTTGTGTAAAATAGGTACATCAATAAATATCACTGTCCTTGTCACAAAAGCCAAGTTTTTGGACAAAAAAAATAGCCATTTCCTATAAAGTGGAGGCATAAGCAATAAGGAAATAACACTACCCTGGGAAAAATAATTATTACAGTCTTATTCAAAAATTGGCTAATAGACTCAAACAAATGACGATTGTGTAACAAGAGCGAGAAGACCCCGGGGGGGGGGGGGGAGTAGAGGATGAGAGCAGAGGATGAACGAGAGAAAGCTCGTAAAAACAGATTATGAGCAAGATCTGGGGCCTCTAACCTGACGTCAGAGTCACACACAAGTAGAGAAAAAGTGCAGAATACATAAAACTGCCCAATATACATTTAATATCCAGAAACCTTGAAAAAGAAGCTCCAGGAACAGCATATAAAAACTACGGAAGACCCACTTTCGAGTGTCCAGCTCTGGCTCAGAAACCCCACCCGATAAAACATAAAAATTATTAGAAAAAAATAAAGAGGTTCAGAAATAAGAGACAAGGGGTGTCCCAGAATGGAGGGGGGGGGGGAATGAGGTAGAAGACTGG